ACGAAGCGCGGCCTGATCAAGATTTTAATTTCTTCTCCCTGACAGTATGGGTTATGTAGTTTATTAGGTTTGACTGAGGCCATAGTACGGTGCAGTCCAAACATTTGTAATCTCGCACGGCAAATAAATTCGTATGTAGCTAATGATCACCTGGTGCGTTTGCAACTGCCTCCCGGGTCGCTCGCACGGGCGACTCCGGAGGCCTCCCCGCCGCCGCTTAGAAAACTCCCCATCACCGACCAAGCCCATCCGCCGCCGCCGGAGGAGGCCATCGGTGCTGACGGCGGCGGCGGGGCTGCATGTTCGTTCCCTTCCCATCCATCTCTCTACCTCCCATCCCGATCTGAGATCTGACCGTGGCTGATATACATCATCAATCTGACCGCACGCCCGTTTTGGCTGCTGCGTTGACGAGGTGTGTGGCGGCCGGTGTGCTGCGTTGGGTGCCTTGGAGGACGCTGACGGTTTAACTGCATCTCGCCGTGGTGCAGGCCGCGGTCCGCGGCGGTTGCGTCCTTGCGGCATCACTGGCTGGCTTCATCCCCTGCTGTGATGCAGCCATGCGCCTCCTCACAAGTGGAATTGGTTGTAGGCTCCCGGTGTTCGCTGCCGCTTGAGGCAGTCTCTGCTTGGCGGCTGCACGGGTGTCAGATCCTGACCGGGGATGTGCTGCTAAAGCTGTTGGTTCCGGCTTGGCCTAGCGGACTGCTCCCAGGTGGTGATTGCTTCAAGGTTGGAGCTAGAACTGCATGGCGGCACCGCCGATCTTTGATTAGTGGGTTGTGGTGGACACTGATTGTTTCTCTGCCCATAATCATTGGCTGCTGCTGGCAACTAGCATTGGTGTGGTTGTGGGATGCAGCCGGAAGGCTCCTTCATGAGTTTTGGCGGCTCTCACTTCCGTCAGCTTGTTTTCAACGGCATGATGCAATCTATGGATGATGACTTGACGCAAAGGGATGGGTGTGCAGAGATGACATTGTGCTTTAGCGCATGTGATTGCTGGGATCGTGGAAAAGTGATGGTGACAACACAATTGACTTCGATTTGGTGGTGCTTCTCGAGTACCCCAGTATGGAGCTCCGTGGTGAAAACCAAGGTTTGAACTGATATGGTTTTACCTGACAATGACGATGTTTTTGCATCGTTACCTTGTTGAAGGCATTGTTCGAATATGCTTGGACTTGTTCTTCAGGGTGAAAGCTCAGAATCTGGCCGTTGATGGTTGGATCAGGTGATGACGACACTTGAGTGTCGTTTTCTTCATGAAGGCGTTGCTGTTGAAGAAATTTTCTCGTCGTCGGTGTGTGTCAAAAGATGTTGGTGCGGATAAGGTCATTGTTGTAGTTTGTCGATCGCTGTCTTGATCGCTTTGGGATTCTTTTCTTTTTTCCACGCTTAGGCATAGTTTTGGTCTTATATGACTTTGCTACTTGTCGGCGTGTTTACGTGTGTGTGCGTTGGTGTTGGCTGTGTGCATCCTAGCTATGCAGAGGTCGGATGTGCGCTCATTGTGTTTGTATCTTCTTGATGCTTCATTCTGAGTCAATAAAATCCACCCTTTATCGAAAAAAAGCTAATGATCACCTGTGCGGCGTGCACCACATGCATCAGCCAAGATGTGCAGAGACAAAAATTCCAACGCTCCCACTGGCAAAAAGCGAACCCACGGGTGCGTAGGTGGGGCTATACCTGGCCAAACCTCGGGCCGGGCCGGGCTTCGGGCCGGGCCTAGCCAAGCCCGACATAAAAAACCCAGGCCTGGGCCCGGCCCGGCCCGGCCATCGGGCCTGTGTTTCTGGGCCCGAGCCCGGCACGAACACCTAAAAGCCCGCCGGGCTTCGGGCCGGCCCGGCCCGACCTTCAGAAAAGTGCAAAAACGACGGGCCCGGGCCCGGCCTTCGGGCTCAAAAACTAGGCCCGAGCCCGGCCCGGGGGCAGCGTCGGGCCGGGCCGGGCCGGCCGGGCCGGGCTTCCCATGGCCAGGACTAGGTGGGGCATGTGCTACACGCGGTAGAACCCAACCCCCAACCCCCAACCACATTATGTCGTAGAGAGTTAAGACGTTGTACCCACATGCCACGCACCCCTCGCACACGCACAGACACAGCAGATCGAAAGCAGTATCCATTAGCAAAACAGAGAAACGAGGATCTCGCCGGCGGATTCAGGCGACGGAGCTGCCGGGGGTTCGTCGCGCAGCGAGGTAAGTTCTGAACCACATCTCCGAGGTCACCGGCACAACAATCAAACTATAGCTGAAACATCCCCCCCCCCCCCGTGCCTCCTCCCCTGCAGGTTTTCGCACATCACAGATCGATGGAAGAAGGAGAACAGCAAGTCAGACGGCAGATCCAGACCACGCCCACAATGGAAAGAGATGGAGAGCAGCCGGTAGACGAAGGAGAAGCAGCAGCTCCATCGGGATCGACAAGCAGGTCCACTAAACACACATCTAGGATAGCTATTCAGAAAGTAACAGAGGTCGTTGCTGCATTATCGGATTACAAAAGATTCCTGGTTGAGGAGATTGGCTTTGAGGGTGTATTGCATATCCCCATGATTCAGAAAATCAATCTCAAGTTCAGCAAGTTCCTCATGACCAAGGTGGATGTGAAAGAGCATTGCATCATCCTGAGACACGGCGGAACGCCAATTACTTTTTATCCACAGGATTTCCACAAAGTGTTTGGCATCCCATGTGGTCAATGAGACATCCATGGGAAAGATGCAGACATCACATCTGAAGCAATCGAGTTCATCAGGAACTCTATAGGGTGGACAGAGAAATCTGATCGCAGCTTAAGTTCGCTCGAAGTGTTCATCGGCAAGGAAATAAATGAACTATCCAGCCGATTAGAAAAGGATTCCTTCAAGATGGCGTTTGTTGTTTTTGTGATGGGCAGTCTGTTCGCACCGTGCACCAAATATCATCACTCAACCATCGACTACTGGGCTGCCATCAAGGATGCAGCAAACATCTCCCTCTTCAATTGGTGCAAATATTCATTCAATTTTTTACTAGAAGCAGTCTGCAAACTGAAGTTGGAAACAGATGCAAACATAACACCCAACCACCTCTCTGGGTGTCACCTTTTCTTTCAGGTAAATCCCTCAAAATCACAGTTGGATAGGCCAAATTCACAAAAATAAAAACCCCAAAGTTACGGAATGCTCTTTTTGGCGATTTGTTTGAAGCTCTGCACTAACATAATCAGCATGTGCTTTTCATGTCGACATGTGTTCATGCTAGATAATGTTGAACTGGGCATGATGAACTTGAAGCAAACGACAATGCCACGAATACAATTATTCGACGAGGAGACCCTGAAACGGATGATCCTCGTGTGCTCAGCAAGAAAGCTAGGGAGAACAATCTTCATAGTCCCTGAGGTAACAGCTATGTATGTTTAACCACAACTATGATAGCGCGGCACGTACTAAACTACGCGCAACCTTATGCAGGCAAGACACTGGAATGCCATGTGCTACACATGGCACAACTGGCAGAACGAGAAGCATGGCAAGAAGAAAGCAATGGAGCACAAGGCTGAAGGCTCAGCAAATCAGTATGCACTCGTCAGTCACAACCCAGAGACCACTCGACGGGGAGGGTATACCAATGCGGACACAAGCAACCTTGCACAGACACATAAAAGCATCATCGAATTCAGCCCCGGCGACTACGCTCGCTGGATCCAGTTGCAAAACCCAGAGCTGGTGAGACACAATCCACACCCACCACATACCAAAGCCAAAAAAAATCTTTGTTTAGACTGAGATTGGTGCGGGCCACCTCCACACAACAACCTAACATCTGCCTACATTTTGCAGGCCGCTTCTCCATTAGGATGGGCACTAAAAGAGCACAACGCAAAGTGTGTGCATATCGCAAATGAAATGAGAAGGAACATTGCAACTGAGAACATTCGATTCACAAAAAAACTGCTGTAGGTGTACACTGTCAAACCAAATTTGACAACACCCGCACCCAATGCATCTTATCGCGCTGTCAAAACCGCACCAGGCGTCAGTGGTTCTGGTACTCTCCACTCCCCCACACACACACCCGGCCGTGATGACTCTAAAATAGTTGTCCTTTTTTCCACATAGCCTGAACTAAAATGTGTTGTTTATGCAGGTTCACACAACGCAGAAGCACCGAGCAGACTCGCACAACAAATAGTTGGAAGAAGGTTGGAGTTGTCATCTCCATCCTTGACGTCCGTTAAATGCGCCAAACCAGTGGTCTTGACCATCGCCGACCAATTGTTCACAACACCTACTAGGGGCCAAAAGCGAGCAAGGGCAGACGACGCGCCAGGTAATAGGTTGCCAATGTTTTCCTCCATTGATAATATGCAGTTCTCATAGGTTGTCCATGCAAGTACATTAGGGCAATAAAATCACCAATGCTCGCAGACGCACCATCATTCGAATTGGACATAGACGAACACAATGAAGCTAGTACGCCTGTTAAGAAGGATGGAAAAGCCACTCTGATTTCACCTACGTCGGCGACAAAGACACACTCAGACCACCTAGTGGGCCAGCTAATGATGCTTAACAATGAGATTGGAGACACCGAGGGACATATTGTCTTTGGTCAAGTCAACGTCACGGCTGTAACAAAGATCAAAGCTACCCACACCGGTTTCACCAAAGACCCATGGTCGAGCAACTGGTTGGTGCGCACACGGGCCGTGCGTTCTAAAAGCCATCAGAGAATGGATGCGATCAAGAACACCCTATGACCTAGCAAGGTAAGCAATACCAGGTACTTTCCAAAGATAAGCAAGTGTGGACGGCGCGACGACCCTGCCGCGCCCAGTAGATTAAGCTGACCTGTTTTCCCCCGATGCCATTTTCACGAGGATAGGGTCTCACACCCTGACCCACGGATCATTGCAGTCAGCGGCAATGCCATCAAGTCACAAATATGCAATTGTTATGAATTGGACCACGAGCTTGGGTCGTTGATCGTCCGGCGAATTGGACAGATGGAGTCACATGCACACCGTGCCAGCCCCGACGAACTATACCGGTTGCTCCTCGAGCCCGATTTTGCGGTATGAAATCACAACTACAGGACACTGTCCACATTCTTGCCATAGTTCTAGATATATTCTAACCTTTTTTTCTTATATTGGGTGACATGCTAGTGTCACGCCTTTGCAGGGGAAAATACCACAAGAATCATGTCAATACAAAGGCAAGTCATCGAAAATGAAGTGAAGTGCAACATCGCAAACTGTCGGATGGTAATGTCTCCAGAATTGTTTTCATCCAAATTTCTCTGTTCTTACAGTGGGTAGAACTGCATCAGAACCCAAGCAATGCTGATGCTTGACATAAGCCTCACTTCCATTTTTCTCACCCTATGTAATAGGTTACAATCCCCGCCGTCATGCAACATGGTTGGTGCTGCTTCAACTGGGACATGATGGCCCACGTGATAACCATAATGGACCCAATGGCATACCAGACAGAGGACACAACACGGAAAACTTGTTTTATGTACGCGGCCGACAAGATACACGACGCTCTTTTTGATTGCATTGAAGAATTCTTCACCGAGTGGCACTGCAGCAGACATTCATGGACGAAGAAGTCACCTCTACTGTCTACCACAACATTCACAAGGTACGCATGTTGAAGCCAAACTACTACCCAACACTTGTTCATTTTTTTTGTCAATCATGTGATCCTTTCTTCCTGACTGCTAGCCATTTTTATGATTCTCGACAACGCGTTTTGTGCATAGGCCAGAGAGTGCCCTGTGTGTCGTCCACCTACTAAGACAATTCAAAGGGAATTCACTGGCAAAACCACTTACCAGGGTCAGTACTTCAGAACAATTCGCACTAAATAGACAACTTTATCCAGAGAGACAAATCTAATTACATGACTGGCCATATATACAGGCAGCTATCGCCAACGAAAGGGGCTCGCTCCTCATCGAGCTGATCCACATGGAAGGCAACACCGCCCCTCTGCAGCTAGAAGGACTCGACACCATTGCCGACGCTCTGAATGAGACGATGAAAGACTTAGGGGTTTAGGTGTGGCGAAGAGTGTTAGTTCTAATGTATCTAGGACGGCACTGGATAATAATGTAGAACAAGTGTCCCGTGGTCGCTCATTATGTATCTACTTTTAACTAGTATTTTTCTTGTAATCAGCAACATTTACATTTCCCTGAATATCGCAGCGTCCAAACAATAACAACTTGGTAATTGTCGAGATTTTCATTGACTACAATGCAATCTGGTCACTTTACACAACAGAACCACCATCTAGGTACTGAACCAACTTATCTTATTTCTTCGTTGTAGAATAATTGAACTATGGAAGATGCCCCCAGGACAGCCATGTAATTTTAAGCCAAGTGCAAATCCGCCAAAAGTTTTGTCGTCTGCCCAACATGTCATTTCCATTAAACTCCACATTCGCGCATTTTCCCCGCACCAGAATGAGTGAAGTGGGCACATAACCACCCACAAGCACAACTGCCTGGGGGTGGAAGCGGTTACTGTGCCTCATCTGGCAAATACGTCAGTGCCACCACACAGCCAGCATCAGGTACTGTACATCATCCGGCAACTATGGCCCTGCCACCACCCAGGCAGAATTTTATATATCAAATTTTATATATCAAAAAGGCACAAACAAATCCAATCCGTGTGAAAACTTGGCACCCACAGCAGGACTCCCCCCTGGACGATCTGAAATCGTTATCAATCCTTACGAGCTGAAAGTACAGCCACCTTATTAAACTGAAGACAGGAAATAACCAGTACGAGCTGAAAGTACAGCCACCTTCTTGAACTGTTCAGCAATGTCGCCCACCAACTTGTCTCAATAAACTACCAGTTAGACATGGGAAAAACAATACCATGACACTACAGATAGCAAAGAAGCAACAAACTCGCTAAATATTTTTATGGTTTTATCCGTTCCGCACTGAAATGGTTACAATATCATAGGTTCGCAAATACTTAAAACACCCACCAAACTGGGATAGTAACTGGGCAATACTGATAATATTACAATATCTTATGTTTCCCGGACCACAGTCATCTAGTAGCTGAAGGGGAGGATACACAAAACATATGGTGACCAACTTAAGATAAAGTCCCTGCTTTTGCAATATATGCAGGGGCACAGAGAGTTAATCTGTGTGGTTACCCAGACCTTTTGGGATGACAATCATGCTTCAACATGGCAGGGTAGGCTGCCAGTGTTACCCACCATCGTGAGGTGGGCCCGAAGAAGCTTCTTCTTGACAGCAATTGAAGAAGACTGCGACAAAACTAAAAGGTCAAGCAAAACATCATACCAAAACATTTTTCACGCCCCACCATAAGATAATTTGCAGCCACACACCTCAGTCAAGTTCATCGGATGCTGCCCAGGGACAAAGTTGATTATGTGGTGCACAACCTGCATAGCCGTGTTAGAGCTGAACCCCAACACAAAAAACTAGTTTGTTAGAACATATGAAGGCAGAAAGGAACAAATTGTTTTGCGGCAAGCAAAACTGACCTCTCATAGGTGCACGTAGCGTGGAAACAATAAGACCATCCATTGTGTGGCACCTTCCCCTCCCCCCAGAACATCTCACCACACTTCAAGAATGCATCCAACAGCTCCTCTGCATTCCGCAAGTGCTTTGCTTTCATCTAGCTCTCAGCAGGCTTGCAAATGTTTGGATCAATTAAATGAAGAACCCTTCGCAGCGTGTCAAAGACATACAGACTCCACCCTTGACCAAGGTACACCACAACCAGCCCCTGTTTTTTGATTCAGTTAGAATAACAAAGCCAACAAGATAGCTACGAAAAGGTGGTACTTGATGCAACACATCCACTAAATGGAAGAGGAAAATCTGATCACTAACCAGTTCGCACGAAACCCCGGGTGGTAGTTGATTAAACATTGCACGGACATCCGCTCTCCTCCAGTACCCCCTAGTGTATGAAACTTTGAACTACAAGCAAAAAACATTTACACTTCATCCAGACAACTGCTACTAAACAAAACCAAGGAAAACAAGTTAATTGATGTGGACACACACTCACCGCCCAATCAGGCCCAATGATCAGTCTCCCTGATGCCGGGGGGCAGATCCCCAAACGTAGAATGGAGTCAAGGCCTTTTTGGGCAAGTGTTTTATCGATGTGGAACTCTTCCAGCACCTCCTCACCAGTCATCTCAATGAGATATGGGCGCCCATGCTTGAACCACACCCTGCACACGGAACAAAATCCATTTTGTTCATGATATGCAGATTTTTGCAGTGCGCACACACGCGCTGGTTATCCGATCAACAAATATGTCAAAACAAGTGTCCACCATGTTTGCACATACCTAAATAAATCATTGACTGATGAATCCATGTCCATTGCATAGAAACGCTCATCTCTTCTCCGCCCCTCCATCTCAGAAACAGCTACTCCAACCGGGTTTGCAATCGAGTAGTCAGTAGTCATCCTTGGGCGTTTATTTGGCGGAGCTACAGCAAACCACCCAAGCAATTTGCTCTGCGTGAGTTCTGGACACACATGAAAACAGGGGGTAAGTACAGGGGATTAAAAAGCCACCATAACAATCGCTTGGGTGGAAAACAAATAACTTATAATAAATTAGGGAGATAGAGACACAGTCGGGGAGGAAGGGCCACATACCGGGGGGCCGCAAAACTGCAGGTGGTTCTCTGAATGGGGAAGGACCAATGGTTAAATTTGTGTCGACGGGCATAGGGTTCATCGGACGCACAAATGGTGTCCCATTTATGAAATCACAAACGTCACTCGCCAAATTCAAATCAAGGCGCCTGGCCACATTACCTACAAAATAGGCAGCGACAACAACACCCCCGCCCCTCAGTAACTAAATAACAGTTAGGAATTAGCTTGTATTTTATACATTTTGTTGCACAGGAACTCGGAGAAGTTTATCCAGTTGGAAGCTTACCAATTCCAACACTGGTTGAACCAACTTCCCTCAATGATGTCCTGCGGTTCAAGTCAAGGCTATTTGGGCTTGGGAACGGCCCAAAGAGCGTCCGTGCATCACGGATCACATCGCTCTGCCCAGTATTACATTAAAATGCACGCTTGACCACCCCTACTGGCTAACATTCTCATATAGCATGATTTAGCAAGCAGATATCAAAAAACTAATAGACTCACCAGTGGCAGCATCCAAGCTTGATAGTAGATCCGTGCCAAGCCGCTTCCTAATATTCGGGTTCACGAGCCTAGAAGTGGATGGACCTGTCACAAGGGACAATTTATGTTTGTTTGCCACAAGCCATGACAACAAATAACCAACTAAACCCACACAAAGCTGACAATAGCACACACATACCTTCTGCCTCTGGTACATGGCTTTTCCCTTTGACATCGGGCACAACACCCGTGTTAGAATCTGAAACGAAACCGTTAGGCAAGCCTTTTTTTTGAAATGGAATATATCAAAATGATGTCAAAGGAGCAAGTCTCGCCATGAATCTTAACAAAGGAAATCTCACCACCAGCTACCCTCAGCTTGAAATCAGCTACTTTTGAAACCGCACACCCGATCATCTCATTACAGGAGTTGACATTGTTTGCGTTACGACTGTCAATCATCGCAAGCAAGCTGGTCATGCAAGACTCAGCATGGTTCCTCAAGTTCATATTCTCCTCAGTAACAGACGAGATGTGTGCATTCATTACTGCACTCAAGTAGTCAACCACCTAGGGGCAAAGTAGCTCATCCCATTAGTGATTATGCATAGTACGGAGCGGCAAGACACGCCGGCAGCAAAATATATACGATTTTGTGCCATACATTGTACCTCAGCCTGCCACCCGGCCACTTCAGACAGTGAAACGACAGTTTCAGCTGGGGCAACAACTGGAGCAGCGTCAACATCCACAACAGGAGGCAACCCCTGGTTCACCGAGTCCCCTATGGCGACATCTTCACCGACAAACCTTATCTGGCAAGGAAATGCGGGTCAAATGGGTATAATAAAACATCAGGGGGCAAGTATATGTGCAGAATTCATATTGATACAAAACAGCTATCCATATGACAGTAATTGTCTACTCACCCTCGCCTTGCCATATAACCTGTGTCAACCAATACTTCAACGATCAGCGTCCAAACCAGCGAGCAGCTGGAAGTCCTCAGCCTTGCAAATGTGATTACCTAGGACAGTACAGGAGGGAAAGCAACAATTCAGCCTTATGGGATAGGTATGCAAAAAACACGGCAAATGTATATGAAACATAGTATGTGAGATGAGGCTACCTGAGGAACCATTAGGAACCCTTGCAACTGAACCGTCGTCGCCCCAGCATTGAGATCAGCGTGCATCTTAGTCACACCAGCCATGATAACAACTTTTATGTATCCACACCAATCAAACTCAAACATCTTCGATGGATCACGCACAACAATGAACACTTCCGGGCTGATCGGGTCGTCCTTCCGATTCACTCTAGGATTGAACAAGCAAGCAGTGCAAAGGAGAGCAAATGCAGCACATTGCCAGTTGGACTCAAAATCGACACTTAGATCACCTGGGGAAGCAAGCACGGACCGCAGCATTTGCAAGCTAATCTTATCCAGCGTCTCATCTAGTCCCAAACCGGCACACACGTC